AGCTCTTCATCAAGTTTTGGAACAGAGTGGGATGATACGTAGATCAACGACTGGCAAGCAAGAAGGTGGAAATGATCCTCGGTTAATCTTTATCCGGGATTTTGTTTTTAATGTATTTTTGATTCGCACTAACGTAAACTGCATTGAAAATCATTGCATGATAGTCATCGAATTACTAATTCCTGGTTTTCGGAGTGCTGAATCTTATTGATCGCTCACAGCCTTTAAAAGAAAATATTTCTGGAGAAATGGTCAGCACTTTTTTTTTCGGGTGAGTGGAAAAGGATTGAAACACAACTACATTCAAGTTCATTTCGACGAGTTTTTGTTTTTGAATGTCATGGCTTAAACGCAAATCTTTTCAGACACATGCGAGCATCACAGTTTGAAAATTTGTCGAATGCTTTATTGAACGACAAAACTTAAATCTATTAGTAACTCATCAATAAAATTCAGCATTCCGAATTTTATCGATACTCCGTCAATACGTGAGGATTGTCGAAAACCAGGAATTTAAAATCAGCGAATTACTAATTCTTGGTTTTCGGAAGGCTGAATTTTAATGATCGCACACAGGAGCCTTTAAATAAAAATATTTCTTGATTAATGACTTTCTGGGATGAGCTATAAGTAGAAGATGATTAATTGACACAAAACTAAATTCAACTTCAATTTTTAGAGTTATTTGAAAGCCATAACTTGGACAGAAATCGTTTCAGACACATGCGAGAGTCACAGTTTGAAAATCGCGGTTCAATGTTTTGCAGAAAAACAAAACTTACGCTTAGTGACTTTACACTTCACTACGTGGGGAAAACCGATGTTTTTGTTTCATTATTATCTAATCTGAATTTACCGAAATGTGTAAAAAAAATTCACTGCACGCATGCTTCCATCAGATTTTAAGACAATTCAGAACATTTTATGAATTGTTCATATATCCATCAAAAGAAAAGATATATATATAACCTTTGCATACAATTATTTTAACATTTTAGCGATTTTACCAGGCCATCAAACAGCAAGAGAAGTAGTAAAACAGCTCAATCTGCTTCAACACATTTTTCCCTGTCCCTTATGTTCCATTAAGATTTCATGGAAAACAACGCCAGGCAAAAAAAAAAAAATGAGAGATCAGATTGACGGCAGGTTCGCGTTTCATCACCATCTCTAACCATGTCGGAAGAGAAAATGTTCGCGGAAATTCAGCACAAGAGTTTCAGCTCAGCCAAGTTTCAGCACTTTGTGGGGGAAGTGAAGCATGAATAATTCCTGCTTGACCGGTCACAGCTGCTAGGCAAAAATAAAATCTCCGTCTTTCCTCTATTCCGAAACTAATCTGCTTCAAGGATTCTTTCGAAAGTTTACCACTTTTCTACCACGGGATCAGCCTTCGTATAGACTACTTTAACAGAGAAAAGATCATTCAGCGAGGATCTTTTTTCAGAAAATGATGGCATACTTCCATGATAAAATATTGAAAACCTTTTCAATGAAATCTTTGAATCCCGAAACGGAAGAGTGAAAATAATCCATAAAAAAGCGTTATATTTCTCTAAATTTCGGGAACACTTCACGTAGGTCGCAAAATTAAACCCAATTTTTTCTGCACGTGAAACTTTTAGTGACGCGTATCAAGAATTTATGAATCAATAACTTCAAGAAACTTCCAATATTCGGGATATTTCAAGGGTTTAAAAATGGTTTTGAGGGAAATTTGAGTTGCCGAACTTTTGCTTCAGTGCACAACTTTAACTTCACTTTCCAGAATCACAGGATTATAGGTGTCACTTACTTTGATACCAAGATAATTTCAAAGAGACCCAAAAAGAGCTGAACTACTTGAATCCTTCATGTATATACCTAGTCTACTTTAAGCTAATCTAAAATAAATTTACATAGTTTATATCCGAAAAAAACATAATCAAACACAGTCAAAATATATCTGATAAAAATTCGAATCATAAAGTGTCGGATGCATGCAGAGACTTCGCATGTAGCATAGAATCCGGAATTTAGTTTCAAATGCCAAATTTTTAATGCAGCGAAGATTGGATCGATAAATTTCTTGTCAAAAAAGGTCAACTTTTACAACTGAAGTCATGAATTTGATGGAATTTGATTTATTTCACATTATATATCCTGATTTTTTTTCAACAATCGTCATATTTGGACCATCATCATCAGTCAGCGGAACTTGAGATTCCAAAATTATTTTCTTAAATTTTGATCCTGTGTCATACTTATTTGAAAGTGTCTGAATTGAATTTACGGCTCTTTGAAATTCCATTCGAAGGGTATTTAATAGGTTATATTGCGCTTTAACATGTTCATTGTTTCTCATCGTTGATATTCCAGATTTTTTACAAAGCAATCAATTTTTTTACATGCTTTTTCACATAGCATTTTTTACAGAATTGTCATTGGGCCTTTTATTCGAGGTTGAATTTCTAACGTAAGCTGCAACCCTCATCGGCAACATATTTCTTTTTCGATACAAAAGAAACAAAAAAGACCAAATCAAACACCCAGCATGAAAAGGTAAAGCAGAACTTTTCTCCTGACCCCAGGAATCCCGACCGGAAGAAGAAGAAGAAAATCCAAGGGAAAAAAAGGAGAAAATTGCTCTCACCTGAGTATGAGAATAATACATGGCGAAGTTGGACACGATGACGGGTACGGGCAGGGCGATGGTGAGCACACCAGCCAGGGCGCACAGGGTGCCCACGAACATGCCCACGTAGGTCTTGGGCACCATGTCTCCGTAACCCACTGTTGTCATAGTGACCAGGGCCCACCACAGCCCCAGCGGTATGCTGTTGAAGTCGTTGTGCGGGTTCGCCTATAGATGTATCAAAGGAGGCAACCGGGCAGAAAAAGAAAAAAGAAAAAGAGACACACACATCAATATTAAAATCCTTGAAGAAAGCACAAATGAAGCATATTTTTTTGAATTGAAAATATAAGCGAAACAAGATTTTCAGTTCAATTGAAGTTCATTATTGCAGTACAAGAATAACAGCATTGTGGTGGGTGACCTGGAAATGAACTCTTCAAAACCGAAAAATTACTGCGTGAAAATTCAGGGAACGTACTGGCGATCGAATCCGCTCGGAAATAATGGAATGCATATTTTAAAAAATAATTCGTTCCATCATGATTTTTTTTTACAAGAGGTAAAAGTTAGAAGTACTGAATATTTTTCAAAGGATAAAGGGTTGAATTGCAAGCCTATTGTTTGCACACAAAAAAAATTCGGAATGAAACAATCGTTCAATTCTGTACGAAGAAATCGTAGTTCTATCAAAATTTCCATTCAAATTACATTCATCTGATTTCCATCAATAATAAAACATCAACTCACAGAATCTATTTTTCGTTTGTTACGCTGTTTCCAAAGCTTTTTCCAAATATATTCAGCAGACACATCAAATGTATGAAATAGTAATTTAAAGGAAATCAGAGCCATGCAAAAAAAACACGCACGTACATATATGTACATATATGTACATATAGTTTAACTTGGAAAACCAGATGATGAACCATAGTGCAGTACCAAAAACCTGAAATGTCACCATTCTGAGTAATGCATTAAGTATTGCTATAAATTCCACTACGATTAATATTTGAGTTAATTAATAATAACTTAGGAAAATTTAAAAAACAAAAAATGCATCATGCAGCTGCTTTGGATGACTCGAGAAAATGAGATGACTGAAAAATGTTCTAGCAAATATTACACAATTACTTTGATGGAATAAAATCAAAGTTCAAAAGCATCCCCATGCACACAAACATATTTTTGAGCAGCAATCTCATCACCAACAGTCGAAATAAAAACTGTAAATATTTTCAAAGAAGGATCCTTTAATCTTTGTCAAAGATGTTTTCTGTCGAAAGCCTGCGAACTACTCTCATCATTTTATCTCGCAAAATGAGAAAGATAGTCGCGGAAAATATTTTTTATTCAGACGCACGGCATCAAAATAATAAATGAACATTTTTACATATTTTTTTATCCCATGCTTATTATGTACTCATAATGCAGAAAAAATAAGGTCTTCTCGTCATTTATGCCAGAATTGGCAGCACATGCTTCAAATAAAAGCAAATTATACGGTAATAACTCAGAATTGTACGTATAATCATATGTCATTGTATGCGGGACATAATTCTTCAATGTCCTTGTACAAGACACGCACTCACGTTTCCCTCCACATCCCAAAGTAATTCGCGAATATGTTTCTTTTTCGAATATAATATTCGAAATACAGTATATTCAAGCAGTATTTTCGAATCCACGAATTTTTTCCTATACAAGTAAAAAAGAACTTGAATTTTGCATAACAAAAACACTTCCTCCTCTTATTTTTTCGACAACGCGTCTCCGCTGTCTCGCGGTCGCCAATTTTTCATGCCATGTACTGCACTTCTACGTTCAGATCATTTCAGACAGAACGAAATGAATTGGGTGGGAAAAGCCAGAAGAAATATAGAAACGGGGAAAGAACAAAATATACTAATGTATACGTATATAAGAAAAGGAACGAAGAAATATCGAGCAAGCAGACACCCCGACTGAATCTTCCTCCATCATGCGTCACACTTCCTTTTCTTTCCTGTCATCAATATGTGAATGGTTTCTGGGAGGAGAAAAGTGCATTTATCATACGAAAAATCCCTTTCGAAATTGGGCAACTGATTGACGAGTGAAAAGCACACACAAAAGTAAATTTTCAGTCGATATATTCCTACGTTAAAAAAAGAAGAAGAATTCAATTCAAATTCGGCGATATTATCTCGGATCTTTCTGCGTTGAAAAAGTCTATCAATGCAATATACCCACAGGAATTGAACTTCCAGTCGTTCCAATTTTTGAGATAAAGTGTAATGAAATACATTCAAGTACCCTCCATCATTTTTGAAGGACATGATGGGAAATAAAATAGAATAAACATTCAAAATACTCCGAAATTTTGAAAAATGAATAGAAATTCGGCGATATGCACTCGAATGTTCTCACGTTGGAAGCATCTTTCTATACACGTACAACAAAAAATCAAATTTTTATTCTTCTCATTTTCTGACATTAAATAAAAGAGAACCAAAATAAAGTATAACCAAAAATTTATGAAGTCTGTCTTTATTGGAGGTTTTAGTGATCGACACACTTTTTCTGACAATACTTCTTCATCTTTCTGTTGATTAATCCGACAAGAGTCTTTTAGGCTTACTGTCTATCTCAATCAAAAGTTCCTACACTCAAGGGAAATTCCGCCTGAATTAACAAGAAACATGAAACTGTAATTAAGCAATTAGTTCAGGACGAGGAAAAATACATGAAGTGCAGTCACGGCTCATTAGATCCGTAAAACGAATAAATAAATGCTTTGCTCGTAGACGAGGCTATTATTTGCTGAACTGACAGTCAAATGGAGATGGTTGAAGAGAAATTACTCAATCGACAGAATACTACGTATTCTTCTGAATTGAAGTCATGAGTAATAATAATATCACGAAAGATAACGATGTTAAATCCGATTGAAGGAAATCAGAGAAGAGTTATTGGAACAAAATTTGCACACGAGTAGCTCGAGAGTCGACGATAGACATTTTTAGTAGAGTTCCTTTAATAATATGCTAATTTCAACCAAGCAAGAACGAAATTGTTGAAGTATCAAATAAATGTGCAATTTTGAATCCCTCGTCTAAGCTAAACCGTCATGTACCTGTTTTGTGAACCTGTACGTATCAGATTTACATTATGGTATAGAATCAGCTAATTTTTTACAAGGCCTTTTCTGGAATTTTTCTCTAGCTGCATTATTGCTTTGAATTAGCAAACAATCATTAATTTTTAATCCTCGAAAACCATTTTTTTTTTACAAAAGTCGAGATAAGTTAGGGCATTCTCCAAATGGAAAAAATTGCTAGAAGAAAGAAGGAAGACCCCAACGGCAGCTCATCATTACAGTAATTTTCTTGTCAGCATATTGACGGTTGTCATGGATTTCTCCACAAATGGCACAGGAACACGCAAAAAACCAATCACACACGCCTTACGCACTCGAAGCACTAATGCGCAAATTTGTTTTCCACAAGCGAAATTTCCAGAAATGAGCAGGTAAAAGCGGAACTATAATATTGCAAAATAGTGTGTTTGGTTGGTTGAAAGCTGGGTTAACTTGAGGATTTTTTACGGGATGTCAAATTAAGAGAAAATAAGACGATTTCATTAGTGAATTCTTTGAGTGAAATTTTAAATTGCCTCCAAAATTATTTGAACATACAGTATCTTGATACGCGATATGAACTCAGAATTTAGATCAATATACGCCTCAAACAATTGTTATTTTTCGATTTGTTCGAGCTGAAATGTTAACAAAAACTTGAATTTGCGTTATGTCAAACATTCGTCCGATGCTGCTCAATTTTTGGTCATAAATGCATGAATATGGGCAACTGAAAAAAATCAATTGATCATCGTAATTCTCCGTAGAGTAGTCAATGCTGACTGAACGCAACATTCTTTTAACAAGTTGAAAAATTTCCTTTTGAAGTTTTCATTTTTAAACTGAAAAAAGACAGAATTTATTCCCCCACAGGATTTTTAAAAAACGGGAAAATTCGCTCATGTTTATTTTAAACGGTTAAATTATTTTTGATACAACTCATCATTAGAATAGATTGAATACTTCAGCTCTAATCCGAAATGGGTTTGTGTTGGCAACAGTTTTTTCCATAATCTTAGAAACCATAATTTTACAATGCTGTCTTGCTTTCGAATCGGGTAAAGAAAATCCATTCGGCTGCTAAATTTGGGTTATTTTGGATCTCGTTGTGTTCCGCCATTTTACGCGCTCAGCCATATTTACATTGCGTGACCGAGAAATTACGGGAAAGTCTGGAAATTCCTGTCAAGTTTGACGCAGCTGGAATCAATATGTCTGGTAGGAAATAGCTACATATGATCTGATACAGAAAATGCAGCGAATTGCGGGACCATTTTTTCCGCCCTAGAAATTTCGCTCCGATTTTCCTTTCCTTCTCAATTATATTTCTGCTCGAATCTGATTCGAAGACGTTCCTATAGATAAGGAGGTCAATCGGAAAGATTGCCTGGAATCAGACATTCGCAAAGTTGTGGCATATCAAATTTGTAAATGAGAGAAACGAGGCCAGACTGATTATTTCGAGTGATAATCAAAACCTTTTTTCCTCATTCCGTTTTCAGATTAATAATCACATTTAGTTTTCCTCCTATTTTCTAAGAGATTTCATGCTTTAAAAAAAACGGTGAAGGAGTCATCCGGAAGTATTTAATCAAGAATGATGTTCCAGGCTGAATTGCCTTTTCAATTTTTGCGTATAGTCTTCAAAATATAGAATTTTATATACACGCAGATTATGTCTTTATAGAAACTCTTCCGTCAAGGGAAGCGTCTTCTCGGAATAATCGACTACTTTGAAATTTCTAAAAATTTAGATCGACTTGAAAAAAAAAAACAGATTTTGAGCAGAATATTTTTTAAAAATTGTTTAATTCGAAAATGAAGGGCTTCGATCGCTTTTGATTGCCCACATGAAATTGTTGGTCCCTTATGTAATTGAAATCAATTTTACTCGTGTTACACATTGAATTTATCTTGGAAACTCTTGTAAGAATTATGTCATACAGTACTCGAAAGAAAACCAAGATTTTTCAAAATGTACTGAAACTTACCATAAGAGCACATAATTTTGTTTTTCAAAATTGAATGTTACGCAACAAGGTCTAAAAACTGAATGATCAGATTCGCAAATCCAGTTTTCGAATCCCGTTACAACGAATCCTGTCGTTTA